CGACCCAAAATTTAAGACCAAAAATTTCTTTTAATAAATCATTACTTAAAGTAAAGTCATCATTCCAAAACATAATATGAGTATAAGTTTTCAAAACACATTTCATTATCAGAGTAAACATTCCCAGGCTGTCTAATCTATGGTGTGTGCCATGCGATCACCCCGAGCTCTTCCCTCCGCTACCGGAAGTACCTGAAACCAAAACTGAAAACCGTAAGCACGAAGCTTAGTGAGTTCCCCACCCTACCACATACCATGCATAACCACATACTGCACATACTGGGCCACGCACTATCTTGGGCCTCGCCCCTACCTCGGGCCTCGCCCGCTACAACGGCCCCGCCGCTCCAGGCCCCGCCTGGCTTCGAGCCCCGCTCGGATACAGATCTGTTTTACTTAGGCCTCGCCTGTCACAGGGCCTCGCGCCGCCAACAAATAATAACACATAAACATTTCACAACACATAACTAACACATGCAACTGGTTCTGTCCTAAGGCCTCGCCTATCCTGGGCCTCGCCCATGTCCTGCTACTGATGAGTCATGGGACCCCGTCCACGCTCCTAATGGTAGTGAGGTACGGGCCTAGCCCACTCTCACTCCTGTTCTAGTTTGGGCCTCGCCCCTATTCTGCTACTAATGAGATATGGAACCCCATCCACACTCTGCTATTGGTGAGATACGGGACCTCGCCCACACTCACCTCCCTACCAGGCACATACATGTATCACACAGACAACAAGTATAAACTATCATATAAACAATTCCTTGGGCACCCGCCCGCTATTACTGGACCTCGTCCTGAAAATAATACTAGCATACTGTGCCTAGGGCTAACCCCCGTGTCTTCTACTCATAACTACATGGGCCGAAATTGTGGCCTTAGACACATTCACACAAAGGGAAACTCACCTGCACTGACTGAACTTGCTGTAGATCTCACTAGCTGCTGCCCGACAGCTCAGGGAACTCCTGCTCCCCTTGCTCCCCGAACTACCAATATCAATGCAACACTGAGTCTAACTGACCCCCGAAAGACAACCAAGTCAACCCTGGTCAAGGTAAAAGTCCTGGTCAAAGTCAACCTTCCAGGTCAACCATACTCGCCGAGTCACCCTACTGACTCGCCGAGTTCAAAATGATCAGATTCCTTCCATTCGCGACTCGACTCGCCGAGTCAGTCCATGACTCGCCGAGTCTACCGATTTCTGAGTCCTGACCTGTCCAACTCACTGAGTCTCCACCCGACTCACTGATTCGAGTCTCAACTCGAAGGGTTTGGGGTTTCGCGACCTGACTCGCCGAGTCCAAGAACAGACTCGCCGAGTACAAGGCAATCTTCATACGACTCGACGAGTTGTCCATCCCACTCGTCGAGTTTCTCCACAACTTCATGCTACTCACCGAGTCCACTCAAAGGACTCGCCGAGTCCATTCAGATCTCCTTACATGCAGAGGACATTTGAGTCATGCATGAACTCCAAACTGTAGATCCACCCTTCCCAAGCCTTTTCCCCACGTAAAGTTGGAAACTTTACATATAGAGAAGGAGATCTAGGCAAAATATGCTATAAACTAGGGCTTAAGGCAAAAAGGCTCCATGATCCACTCAAGGGCTGATACTTTACGGAATTCTAGACCAAAATAAGCATGGATCTGAGGTAGCAACCTCAGATCTGAACCTCTAGCTGAAAGGTTACTCTTAAGCCAAGAATGCCCAAAACACACACAAAGATCTAGGTGCAAATGAGGGGAGATAGCAGCTTGTTACCTCCAAGATGAACACCACTGAAGTAGATCTCGGATCTACACCTCCTCCTTGAAGCAACCTACTGGCCCTTCAAGTTCCTTTCCCTAAAGTTCCTTCCTCCAAGCTTTAACTCTCAAAATGATGGAAGCTCTCCCGAAATCAAGGGTGCACTGGCTCTCTAGGGTGATATGGGGGCTGAGGGAGGGACATAACACCCTTTAAATAGGATACAACTCCCGAGATTAGGGTTTTCCTTGTTCAGAACAGACTCGCCGATTCACCTTGGCCGACTCGCCGAGTTGGTCGCTTACTCCTCGACCCGGATCCCGTTCGGACTCGCCGAGTCCCTCCTTGGACTCGCCGAGTCTACCCTTAAATTAGGGCTTTTCTTTCCTTTCTTGTCCTTCGAAACTTTGGGTGTTACAACTCTCCCCCACTTAAACTAAACTTCATCCTCGAAGTTTACTACACTCCACTGCCTGCGATCTGTCTCCAATAACCCACCATCCATTCTAACACCAGCTGCCTAACTTTGTTGGCCTTCCACTCAGTCATTCAAACTAACGTCAATCCTTACCGGTAATAATCTCGGGTGCATCCTGACCCTGAACATCCTGGAAACACAACTTACTCAACCGGCAATCTTTCTAGTATTCTCCGAGTACTGCAACATAGGGGTTCACCCCTTATTTCCTTGCGCGATTTCCTTGCCTTCCCAAGGCAACGCTCCATAACCATTTATCTCCTCTGCCACTGTGAAGACCCTGTCTTCACCTAATCTATTACTCCCGCTACTCTGTACGGGTCATCATTGCCAGTATCCACTTGGCATTCTTTCTACTATCATTCGGTGTCGAGCAACCCACGATCGACTAACTGAATTCCACCATACTCTGCATCCCCGCACTGCTACTGACTAGAAATCCTG